ACAGCTATACAAATTATACTGTTAAATGGATGTAATGTTAAGCAAAATTCAGACATAATTATTAATTTACATACAGTATACTTGAAGTAGCTGCCTGACTGAAATGAGCTATTATTCTTTATTTTGTATCAGGAGTATGACTTCATGTTTGAGCTGTAACTGAAAGCAACATGCACTAATATATCTCAAAATGTCAGTGACAATGATTTGTTTCAAGATGCACAACAGATTTTTTTTTTCTAAGGCATATTTTACTGTCTAACTAGGCCTGAAACTTTAGTTCTGTAGGATATAACATCAGCTTGTGTGCTAAGTGATTAATTAATTATGAATCTCATTAATTAGCAGATTTACTCCAATAATGAGTTAACGAGTCATCCAGGTGCAACAAAGGGTTTTCTGTTTGGCTTTAAAAGTCCTGGTTTGTATGAAACTTTATCTTGCATGGTTGCTTGTTTTATTCAGTGGCTTAGATTGTGGTTTATAGAATGGGTTTGATTGAAGTGGCTGTTTTGGTGGTTCTTTATCATCAATTGGTATGGCATGGTGAGTTACATTTTTCTGTTTAGATGTCCGTGTTTTATTTAAAGTCAATGTGTTTGTCACTATTCAGCTCCACAGTTAAACATGGGTCCTTGGACCTTTTTGTGTTTCTTAATCTAATATGTTGTTGTACTAAAATAATGTGAGTTTACTAACCAACTTGATTATCAAACTGTTTCTGTCTCTCCCTGTAGACAATCTGGTTGGTGTATCTTGTGCTCCTTCTGTCAATACCACCTTCAGCCAGGATGATTCTGAGGGGTCCGGTTCTGTCAACGCCACCTTCAGCCAGGACGATTCTGAGGGGTCCGGTTCTGTCAACGCCACCTTCAGCCAGGACGATACTGAGGGGTCCGGTTCTGTGAACGCCACCTTCAGCCAGGACGATACTGAGGGGTCCGGTTCTGTCAACGCCACCTTCAGCCATGACGATACTGAGGGGTCCGGTTCTGTGAACGCCACCTTCAGTCAGGACGATTCTGAGGGCTCCAGTTCTGTCAACGCCACCTTCAGCCAGGACGATACTGAGGGGTCCGGTTCTGTGAACGCCACCTTCAGCCAGGACGATTCTGAGGGGTCCGGTTCTGTGAACGCCACCTTCAGCCAGGCCGATACTGAGGGGTCCGGTTCTGTGAATGCCACCTTCAGCCAGGATGATACTGAGGTGTCTGGTTCTGTAAATGCCACCTTCATTCAGGACGATACTGAGGGGTCCGGTTCTGTGAACGTCACCTTCAGCCAGGACGATACTGAGGGGTCCGGTTCTGTGAACGCCACCTTCAGTCAGGACGATACTGAGGGGTCCGGTTCTGTGAACGCCACCTTCAGTCAGGATGATACTGAGGGGTCCGGTTCTGTGAACGCCACCTTCAGCCAGGACGATACTGAGGGGTCCGGTTCTGTGAACGCCACCTTCAGTCAGGATGATACTGAGGGGTCCGGTTCTGTGAACGCCACCTTCAGCCAGGACGATACTGAGGGGTCCGGTTCTGTGAATGCCACCTTCAGCCAGGACGATACTGAGGGGTCCGGTTCTGTGAATGCCACCTTCAGCCAGGATGGTACTGAGGTGTCTGGTTCTGTAAATGCCACCTTCATTCAGGACGATACTGAGGGGTCCGGTTCTGTGAACGTCACCTTCAGCCAGGACGATACTGAGGGGTCTGGTTCTGTGAACGCCACCTTTAGTCAGGATAATTCTGAGGGCTTCGGTTTGGTCATGCCACCTTCAGCCTGGATGATGCTGAGGGGTCTGGTTTTGTGGACAACTTCAGCCAGGATGATGCTGAGGGGTCCGGTGGTTCTGTGAACTAAAGCCAGGACTATGCTGAGGGGGTCTAGTTCTGTTAACAGCTTCAAGTCCCACTTCTTGGGGGTCTGGTACTATTTTGGCACTTTCTATTTAACTGTTAAAATAAGCCAATATTCTGTGTAATAAAATTTTAAGTCTCTGAATGTTTTGTTTTTTGTTTACTTTACTTTGTTAATGGGCTTTTATAGCCACTTGCGTTAGTTTTTTTTTTTTTTTTTTTTGTGAACACTTGATTCTTTCTAGTATAATTTATTTGAATATTAATAGGGAAACTTTGCTATATTATGGCAATTCTGTAGCACTATGGTTTTTCTATATATATATTTTTTCTATTTAAATGCTTATTTCTTTTAGAAATTGAGGTTTATATTAGAGCTATCAAACAACTAAAATATATTTAATCGCATTGTTAGTCAACTCAAAATTAACTGCACTTTTTTTCATTTTAATCCTGTTATTAACATGGAAAAGTAGATCGGTTTGCTCTGTGCAAATGTTTTCGACGAAGCAAAAAAATGTCCTTGCACGGTGCAAGCTATTGAAATGAATGGGTTTCATAGTGCAGACTTGCATCCAGGTTTGTCCACCTCCAGAGAGAATTCAGCAGGATACCCCTGAGGGGTCCGGTTTGAGAACACCACCTTCAGTCAGGACACCTCGGGCTCCGGTTCAGAATCAGGTTTTTGAACTTTACATGGAGAATTTTATCGTTTTCAAAAATGTGCACTTTGAATCCTTTTTTAAAGTTTGCATTCTCAGGCCATCAAAAAACAAGTAGTGTAAATGAATGGCCGGTACACAAAGTCAGGTAAATCACCCCTAAATTAACTAACATTATAGCAATGTAAATAAACAAATCCTGAGCTTGTTTAAACTGGACACTGACTTTCTTCTAGAGCTGCTTTAAAGCCCAAAATATCTTTGTTGCATTAATATCCAGTAAAGATGCTTTGAAACCATCTGTATTGTTAAAAGCGCTATATAAATAAAAGTGAAATGACCCCTCAATGTCTGCGGTGGAAAAAAAAAAAGCAAAAAAAGCATGGCAAATCCCACCTGCTCTTTACTATGTTTACTTAAAGATCATGCTGTCACTGTTGACCTTGGGGAGGATAACTGAGCTTATATCTAAAATCTCATGATCCGGTTTACTATTGCTCAACATAAATCAAAGAGTTCCTTCGCTCGGCAGAGAGACAGTACTTTTACTTAAAGATGAGGTCAAGCCCATTGAGGATGGCTTCCCTGCTCCAGAATTTGATGAAATGCAAATTTCAGCTTTTAATTATGTATACGGGTAACATATTTAAAACTAGCATATTTGACATAGTATCCTCAATTTATACATGAAACTGATACCCAAATGAGACTTTCATAAACGTTTCAAAATAATATATTTAGTATAGCCAAATTCAGTGCATGGGTAATAAAGTACAGAAAATAATTAATGGTCTAAAATAATTAGCACCTTCACATTAGCACCTTTGTTTGTGTATTCTATGAGTATTATTGTACTTGTGTAAACCCACCAAACAAAACCTAAAGTTACTGGTTTATTTTTTTTACGTTTTGCTGCAGGGATAAAACCAACTAACACCATTTTCAGGAACTACAACCGGCTGTGCTGAAATGGTATAGTTTTATCCTGACAAGCCCTTCTAGAATGACAATCAGATATACTGTAGTTATCTGATATTTGACTCTTTGAGCTGTCAGATTGTGGAGTACAATGATCTTATCTAGAGTCTGAGGCTACAGGATGATTCTCACACCAGTGCCATCATATTCCACGGCACTACGGGAAGACATTCCTTTATCTTACTCCAAGCGAAGGCGAATTCAAACACTACAGTACATTTTAAACCGAGCCATTCATCATACAACTCTGTCACAAAGACCTTCCAGACAGAACCTGGAGAACAAAGGATTCATATTCCATGCAATGCACCGATGGCAACCTTTGATGTTGATGTCGCCTCCTAGATGAATTGCTCCAGCCCTCTGTTTGAGAGTTATTCCCTACTGTTTTTTTTAAAAATGAGCCACATCCACAAACGTATTACTTTTTATTAAAGGGATACTCCACTTTTTTTTGGAAATAGGCTCATTTTACAACTCCCCCAGAGTTAAACTGTTGAGTTTGACCTTTTTTGAATCCATTCAGCCGATCTCCGGTTCAGGCGGTGCCACTTTTAGCATAGCTTAGCATACATCATTGAAAATCACAAGACCATTAGCATTTCTCCCAAAAAAATTACCAAAGTGTTTCGATATTTTTCCTATTTACAACTTGACTCTTCCATAGTTACATCGTGCACTAAGACAGACGGAAAATGTAAAGTTGCGATTTTCTAGGCTGATAATAATCAGGAAACTTCACTGTCGTACCATGAGTGCAGCAGGTTATGACGCAGCGCCTGAAAATAGGAGACACCCCTCGCTGCAGCCTGTAGCACGATGACGTAGCTGGATGGTCCAATACGTGTTGGACCCTGTAACGCGCGCATGCGCACTAGTCAAGTCAAGTCATCTTGATTTATATATCGCTTTTAACAATTTAGATAGTTTCAAAGCAGCTTTACATAGATACGCATATAATTTAATGTAACAGATAGTTTTTGCTTTATATTGGTTCATGAATACTGTTATTTTACAGCTAAAGTTAGTTTAGATTCTGTCGAAATGATAATTTGTTATTAAATTAGGGGATGACATCGTTCTCTCTAAACAGACTTTAAACGCGATCCTGTGATAAACGCTGATGGCACATGCACAATAAGAATTCATAGGCCTAGTTAGTGTAGAGAGTTTGTGAATAATCGTTGATCTTCCAAGAATACATTTAAATAGGCCTAGCGAAGCTCTTATTTTCAGAGCTTTCAGAATAAAACTTTTTTTTTTAAATAATTGCGACTTTTTCCTTACAATTGCGAGTATACTTTTCGCATACTGACTTTATTTCTCAGAATTGTGAGATATAAAGTCAGAATTGCGTGAAATAAAGCCTCAATCGCATGTAATTGCTTGAAATAAAGCCTCAATCGCATGTCATAAAGACAGAATTAGGTGAAATAAGCCTCAATCGCATATGTTATAAAGACAGAATTAGGTGAAATAAAGCCTCAATCGCATGTTATAAAGACAGAATTGCGTGAAATAAAGTCGCAATTGTGTGCTATAAAGTCAGAATTCTGACGTTTTTTTCTCGCAATTCTGAATGTATAACATAAATGCGAGTTTATTGTTACAAGATTTATTTTCCCCATGCTGTTATTATTTTAGCATTTTCCTTACTTATTCATCAATAATTACTTATAATTATTTAACAGTATTATACTACACAGTTTGAACATCATCTCAGTACAATATTGAGCTTACATATCACTTAAAACTAATGCATTCGAATTATAATCAGAGATGGGCACTGCGCATGCGTAAATGACGTCACCAAAACACACATCCATCGTGCTACAGACTGCAGCGAGGACCTCTTGGAAAATAGTGCCCAGCTTCCAACGTGACGGCCGGGGACTAAGTTTTTGTAGTCATCGCGCCAGCTGCACTCATGGTACGACAGTGATTGAAGTTTCCTAAATTATTACGCAGGAATGAGAGTATAGTTCCCTGCATATCAGCCTAGAAAATCGCAACTTTACATCTTCCGTCTGTCTTAGTGCACGATGTAACAATAGAAGAGTCAAGTTTTAAATTGGAAAAATATGGCAACACTTTGGGTAATTTTTTGGGGAGACATGCTAATGGTCTTGTGCACTTCAATGATGAATGCTAAGCTATGCTAAAAGTGGTACCGCCAGAACCGAAGATCGGCTGAATGGATTAAAAAACGGTAAAACTCAACAGGGGGAGTTGTAAAATGAGCCTATTTCCAAAAAAGTGGAGTATCCCTTTAAATTCGTCCCATAAAGTATCTTTAGAGTAGCTTTTATCAGATTATTTTGACATTATTATATTTTTCTATTTGCTTGTTGAACTTTTGATATTATGATTTTATTTTTTTTTATTTTTTTTCATTTTCAGTAATGCATTGTTTGTATAATTGTGTGTTTTATTGGATCTTATTGTTGTGAAGTGCTTTGAGATGCTGCTTTGAAAGGCACTATAGAAAATAACGTTTATTATTATTATTTGGTCAACTTTTAGCAATATTCCATCGTTAGAGTCGTCAAAGATTGGTATTCAGCAGCAGCAGTCTCTCAGAAAAGAACATGACATGTAGCAGCGGCTCCACTGAACTGATTGTCCACATCAGGAAGTCAACAAAGGAGCACAAAACCACTGTAAGAACCACGCAGATGATAACGTAGACAGTTGCTGTCATCTCTCGTTGACTGTCGTCATGGAAACTGATCAACCAGGTATCAGAGACCAGGTGAATTGTCTGCTTGCTTCCAGCAAGCCATCTTAGAAATTACAAAACAGAGTGGAACAGATGTTTTACATTCATCCTTCTCTGACAAACGCTCTAGTTAGAAATCAAAAGATAATCAATTATTAGAAGCAGACTTTGCTTAAGCTGAATCATTTTTTGCTGGAATGTTAAAATAAATGGATAACAAGAAATTAATTAATAATAAAAAAAGGTTTCTCATTGTTGATTCTTTCTTGAATGTATTATCATTGGTTTGTCTTTCAGAAGAACAGAAAATTAGTTCAATTTGACATCACGGATGAAAAAAAAACATTGTCTTGTGTCAGCGGAGGGCAATAGAGCTGTGCAAAGATTCATCAAAAAAAATAAAAATAATAAAATAACAGCATGGGTCTGCAACAATTCGGTGAGTAAAAAATGACAGAAGTTTCTTGTTTTGTTGCATGAAATATTCCTTTAATAAGGCAACGACTTTGTTTCTGTTGTCAATTGTGTTGATTGAGGAAGAATGTGCTTCCTGTCCACAATAAATGTAAAACTGTTCATTTTGTGCAGTTATTTGCTTTATTAGCCATTTTCTAAGTGGATGCATATGCATGAAAACTGAAAAACAATTCTGCTAAATACACCATTTAACATTCATTTATTAAAGCAAGTCACTAAGTCTCAAGGACTTTATTTCTGGCTTCTGTACACAAAGACGAATTGGGAAAAATGTGCATTTGAATGACTCATCAAACCCTTTTTTAAGGTGAGGCAGAGAGAGAGAGAGAAAGAGAGAGACTGAGGTCTTTGAGAGACTAAACAAGATGTCTCACATAAGCAGCCGAACCCTTTGATGGGGGGGCGAAATGCTCAACTTTGAAAAGAAATGCAGATGAATCAGTTTTCAGGCTGCATTGTGAAGGGGTCAGGTGTGTATTAATTAAATTAACCTATAGGACCAGGTCGGTTCTCATTGCAGATGGGGAGATATTTCTATACTCTCTGTTTCTTCAAATCATAATAATAATAAATAAAAAGAAAAAAATACAGACAAGACTGAAGTCTCAATTTATGCAAAAATATTCCATTATAGACAGAAGCTTCCCAGGCCATGCCATAGGCTTCCTCAGCTTCAAAGAGCAGCCACAGTGAGACTGTACTTTGCGGGGAGTGCAAAGACCCATTACATTACATGCCAGCAGTGGGTGCCTTTAGATTACCACAGCTTGTGAAGGAATTAGGATACTGATAAAACTGCAAGCAATGCGGGCAGGGACACACACACTGTCGTCTGTTCTCTTTTATCCATTGTACTCTCTTACGTAATGCTTGGGTGACAGTTTTTACTCACGGGTTACTTTGAGCTGAAACAAAACCTCCGGTGAGTAAAAGATGCAGCTTTACTTCGTCCCTGACATAGGAATGATGACGCCATTATCGCTCAAGATATTTATGGTACACAGCCGAACTCTTTGGACAGGGCCTAGAGGACATGTTTACCCTAAATAAATAAGGTGAAGTACAAGTTTTATCTCCCATAAATTATTGGAATTATAATGCTTATGTGCCTCAATGGAAATGTATTGATTAAAAATTAGACTATTTGTTTTCTGGCAGGTCATTTCTAAATAACATCATGCTTTGGTGTCTTCAGCTGAATTGGCTCACATCAGAAATTCTCAAGGGTCTTTTCTGAGAAGAAAAAAATCTAATAATAAAGCACAACTTAGCATGTAGCCAGGCTCATTAGACTTTTAATTAGATATATCTTGTATAACTATTATTTGATACAAGATACATTTATTTATCAGACTTTTTAAAGTAAAATCTGGGTTCTGAGGAAAAAAAGGGCAAAAACACGGTCTTGTTTCACATTATGCCAAATACATTTGAATAATAATTATTATTATTTATAGAATAATATTGAATTATGAAATATATTTTGTGAATCGGTATACATTTTAATTAGTAAAACTCATTTTAGAAAGTTTAGAGTTCAACTGCGTGGTTGTCATATGATTACGTAATGAGGGACGCAAGCGTAAGAGCGCAGCTGCACTTCAGGAGGGGTGGAACTACAAGAAGTCAATATTAAACGTGCGCACAATCCTTTTGACTGCAAATGTTTGAGAGAAACAACAATGATATCTATTAAGTGGATGGTTGCATGTGTTCTGACAAACACTAGACGCATAGACGGCGAATAATTTTACCGTAAACATAAGAGAAATATAAAATGGCTTAGCAGGTGAGTCGTGTTGATTTCACATTTACAGCGATTTTTTTCAAGCAAGACAAAACGAAAATACCTGTGTAAAGTTGGGTCCGGCTTGCAACCAGAATTTAACTCGTGTTAGGTTCATTTAGTTTATTGGGAGACTTTGGGAAGGATATTCTAAAGCGAAAATATTTCCTGCACAGTTGCGTCTTTCAAATTCCTAGCGCGCATGCGCTAGACATGCAAAGCTTCTTGGGATGTGTAGTTTTTGCCATTTAAGCTTTGGACAGGCTTACAAAGAGTAAATCAAATACGAGACGAGGTATGCATATTAGTTACTACAATATTGTTCTTGCCATAATCATACATTTTTATATGAATGACAGCTTTAAAAACAAATCAACATGCGAACAGAATCCTCACAGAAAGAAAATCCCAAACATAAAGTGATTTGCACTAATGTTGTTTTTTTATGTTTCAAGCTGAAATTTAACATGCTGTCAAAAAAAGAAGATTCAGGAGGAAAGAAAGGGTAGGTATTGTTTTGTTTTTGTTTTTTAAAGTACACTGACAATGTGCTGTCATTTTCTACTGCACATTTGTAATGCAATATAAAGGATACTGTACATTCAGATGATCATTATTGCAAAATTAACCCTGGCGCTCACATGAGCATGATTATTTAGATCATATATTCGTCTTTCCACAGCTCCCACCAAACTGAACTTTACACAGATGTCCCTGCAACATGCCTGCCTATTGTCTATTCCCCTGAGTACAACATCACCTTCATGGGACTGGAAAAGCTGCATCCCTTTGACGCTGGCAAATGGGGCAAGGTCATTCACTTCTTGAAAGGTGTGTAGCATCACTGCAAGTGCAGTGTGCCAGAGACACACTCTGACCAGTGTGTAAGGTAATCTATGAAATACGAGACAAATAAATTGGGGAATCAAACAGAGCTGCAAGTCAGTGAAGGAATGGAGGGTGAAGGGGGGAGTATACTGTAGGTGGAGGGATGGAGAGAAGGATGGAGAGAGGAGCAATCAGTGAGGCAGAGATAATGAGGGAAGCTGAACTCCCCTCGGGAACAGGAGCAAGAGGATGTTGGCTTCTCTGCTGCTGCAAGGTCAGGGGCAAAGTGTAACTCTGGCAGCTCTTCAGATAAACTAGTCCGCAGCGCAAGCTCTTTTTCCTCATTAGTTCACTTAACCGCGCAGAATGTCTACCCTTCCTAGGAAATTTGCTGAGCTTCCACGGCTCGGCGTGTATTTTTATTCTGGTGTCAGATATTCATGTTCACATTCATTTCGCTTTTGTATGATACATTGATTTGTTTCCAGAAGAGCAGTTCATTACTGATGAGATCATCGTTCCAGCCCGGGAGGCCAGCGAGGCGGATCTTCTTGTGGTTCACACTGCGCGTTACCTGAACAGACTTAAGGTAGAGATGCAGTGCTGTGTCCATGCCCTGACCTGTGTTTTCACCTTTTCCTGGCACCCATAATTCCATATACTGATGGCAAAAGGTTACTATAAGCAATACAAAAAGTCTGATTTTCTAATTGGTTTGTCCTCTACCTCAAATTGAATGGCAATAATTGCACATGTACTTATTGTAGCCCTTCTATGAGATCAGTGCCAAAAGAAGAATCCATTTGAATCTATTGTAGTCCCATTGTGACTACGTGGACATTCCTTACTTTATCAAAAAGACATCTAGACTTCCTATTTCATCTCACCAGAAATGAGCCAGTGATGCAAAAAGGAAGTGTACAATAGCAAATTGCACTGGATTACTCCGTGCAGGCCTTTATTTTGATATCCAAATCAATCAGTTCGCAGTCTTCTGCAAAGATTGCAGTCTGCCAAGAATCCCTAACACTCTCATGAGTCAGCTGCTCCAACATGCAGTCTGCGCAGTAGGGGTGATTTAAAGGAGCAGTTCACACAGAAATGAATATTCTAGAATTATTTACTCATCCTGGTGTTGTTCCAAACCAGTGAGCTATATAATATTCAACTCAACCAAAAACTACTCTGTGAATAGGCTTTCTGTGTAAAACTGTTAAGTATGACGTGTAAAATTATTATATAATTATATTAATCAAACACTAGGACAACTGAAAAAAACAAACAAACCCTTCCTTGCTGTTATTTTGTGGCGCATGATCTTTTTTATTATATTAATTTCAACTGAGAGTGTTCTCTTGGATAAAATGTAACTTTTGCTTTGGGGATGTGGATTCAGTGCAGATGTTTTGCCGATGAAAATGATACTGGCATAGAATTGAGATTGTTCAAATGAAGATCATAATTAATTGGAAGATCTATATTTGTACCCATCCCTAGCAAGAAACAATGGCGTAATATTGTATGGCAAATTACGTTGTCATATGAATATGAATGTAAGAGGATTGTTTTTCATTTTGTGTTTATGGAAAAATAACAGCATTTGGATTTAGAATCACACAACCGTGAGTACATAATTCTCGGTTTGTGGGGGGAACCTTCTTTCTTTTTTAGTTCATAGGCCTTCAAGTCCCTCAATGGACGTATTTGAACCTACATTTGTTGCATTTGTTGCTTCAGTGATCGCTTACTGTAGCTGGATACCGCTTCTCTCTGCTCTTGGTCACCCTATAAATCGGCTCTGTGTATGTATTTTCTCTTTCCCTAATGCATGCAGAACGCTATCTTGGAGGGCTCCAGAGAGGTATCTGAGTTCTACTCTGACTGAATCTTTTATACTTTCTTCACACTTTTTCACTTTGTAATATGCATTAGTACAGTCTATTTATCCTGCTTTAACATTTTGCCACCAGTTTGCATTCCCACTAAAATATCACCTGTATCATATATATTCCACTGCCTGAAGATAGATTTGAAACCGGATATATTGTACAATCCACCAGCAGACCCTCTTTGAAATTGCGTTCTGTTTCAGTTTCTGATATTTGAGATCTTGTCACAATATCTGAGAAGAAATTATCACATTATTTTCATTATAATTTAGAAGTCATTGTTATTATAATTTAGACTCCGTTATCAGGATTGCTTACCTAATGTGCATGTGATTTCTCCTACCCTCAGTGGTCTTTGGTAGTTGCCACCATCACAGAGATCCCACCTCTCCTGTTCCTGCCCAACTTCCTGGTACAGCGCAAAGTTCTGAAACCTTTGCGAACGCAAACAGGAGGAACCATCATGGTAGGTTTCAAATCTCCATTTGACCTAGACATATGAGTATCGAGATTAAAACATACTCAAGATAGGGAGTTTATTTGTTCATATTAAACTTTTTAGCTTTGCACATCAGTGGAACGGCATGTGAATTCTCACTTATTGAACAGTTATCATAATTCTGCACTCTTGTCTCTAGTCTAACCCTCTTGGCCTCAGGAGATCTAGGTGTTCCATGGGATCCATGACAAATAGTGTATTTTTTATTTTATTTTTTTGTTAAAATTTTTCTTTACCTCTTATCAAAAAAAGGACCATTCTCTCATAAAAATATTCTGATGGCAATATTCTTATAGCATCCCAACATACAGTCGATATAAAACAAAAAATATATGATTTGGAACACAGTTTATTAGAAATTTTGTATACACCCTGGAGTTGTAGACGGAGCTGTAGGACATAGTCAATACAATGGGGAAAAAAGTCCTTTACAATGTTGTAGCTTGCAGATGTTTATTTGATCAAAATTAGATTTATTTTTCTAGAAAATTTTAGTGAAGGTATAAAATAAAGATTTTCAAGTTACAGCACTGTGTGAGACTGTTTCTGCTTTAGAACAACACAGATCTGTGGGACTAGAATGATCAACAAAATGATAAAATTCTTGCCTGACTTTGTCATAATCATATTCTGGTCAAGTCATGATTGATTATTTTAAATGCGCTCACTGCATGAACCATTCAACCCGAAAGAAATCGTATAACCATTTCAATAACTCCGAAGCTGATTAGTTAAGCTAAAACAAAAACTGCATGTGTCCCTTTGCTTAAGCTCCCGCTCCAGCTCCATGGAGTATTGTTTAAAGTTTTACTAGGAAATAGGAACATTTGGTGACAGAAAGTTGTTTGTGAGGGCCTAGTTTGGGCCTCTCATTGGCATAAGTTGAAATAACCTGGGGAGGAACAGCCGGTAGGAAAGGCTCTGAACATCTGTGATAGAGACGCTCGGAGGAGTTTCTCACAGGTAACACAAACGCATTAAAAGCCTCCTTTGAAGCTATCATAGAAACAGACACATTACTAGCTGCTTTTCTGCTTGCGAGTTAAGCAGAAGAAAATAAAGGCTGAAAGTGCTATTTTAATTCCTAATGAGTTTTCAGTGTTTTATTTCTCAGAGGAAGTTTCTGTTTTTGGATCTTAAGAACCAGCTTGGATGTTTGTGCACTTGAGCCCGTGCCAGTTTTCTCTGTAGGAAAAGTTTTTTTGATGTTTAAGTAGTTGTATTTAAATATTTGATTTGCTCCAATTTAAGCAATAAGTACACAATGAGAACACAACTGAGAATTTCTACCAGTACCAAGACCATTTGGTATCTCTACCAAGACACAAATCTGAGTATTCATCTATAATAATAGTAATGCTTGATTTTTTTTTTTTCCCCTCCTCTAAGCACTAATGTGAGTAGTGCTTGCCTGTAAAAAGTGCCACAATGCTAGGATATTGGCTGTGAAAATCTTTTCTAAACTTCAAATAAATTGAAACAGCTGCTTTGCAAAATGAAAATTCAGTTACTAACTATAACAGAACAGAAATGAACAGTTAAATTAAATATTGACTAAAAAATACATGACATGAACATTAAAATGCAATGAACTGAACAGCAATAACAAATGATCAAATAGAGCAGTAAAAATTAGTTTAAAAAAATGAATGGGGGAAAAAAATCGAACAACTAGGAACAATAATTGGTGGTCTCATCTCATACCGTCTTGTTTACAGTGTATTGCAAGTGTTTATGCGTCTGTGCAAAAAGTTACTAACTAACTTTTCAGTGCATGAAAAGTTTCATCCAGTAGAAAGTTTCGGGTTTAAAAAGACCTCGAAATTTGCGGGTTAAAAAGACCCCGAAGATATTCAGAGGTTTAAAACAGTATTTGTATTGTTTAGAGATTGGCCCTATCACTTTAATCATAAGTGCCTCACTGTAACCCTGATTTTTGTTTTTATAGAGGAAACGGATGGTCAAGTGGAAATTAACCATGCTGTTGATTGAGCTGTACCAGGGATATTCCTTTAAGGCACAACGTTGTCAATCTTCTACCGGCAGTACCATCTTAAGGACGTCCCTCGTGCAAATTTCTATCCTGCCTGTTATTCCAGAAATGTAAAAGACTGCAGTAAATTACATTGCGGTATGCCAGGTGTTCTCCACAGTGCATCTGCGCTCTGACAGACTGCACTGCGCAGCAGACGAACTTGCGATGAGTGTGCTCCACACGTCCCTCTCAGCCCGAGAACATAATTATACCTCCCATTGAGCCCTTCTCACGGCCTGCTAATTGACTGCCATTTCAGTCAGCAGTCGACAGGCTGGATGGAGCTGTAGTTCTGGTTCGGAGAACATGGGAATGTGTGCGGGCCGTCCCCGTTTTAGGTAGTGCGCAAGGAAGTTCAAGGTTAGACAACATCCACCGTGTAATTGTGGGCGTTTGGGAGGAATTATCATAATGAGCAGACTTGTATCATTAATCTCTGCTCTATTGTAGTGGATTTTGTTTATTATCAGTCTTAATGTGATGATTATGAATGAGATCAGATGTGCACACTTTGTTTTGTTTTAATAGCACTACTTCAGTTACAAATAGTGCAGTCGAGCTGTAGAAATTTATTTTAGAGATGCAGAATGTGGCAGTGGATGTTTATATAAATTGACGCTTTTCTCACTGAGCGGTCGTTGTGTCATTTAGGTTGTTCGGCTAAAAATAGCATTGATTCTGAAGAGGATATGGTGCCACATAGCAGGGCTGAAAAAAAGGATGTCACAGGGGCAATGTGTATGAACGACTTCTAAACATGTAAATTAGAAGACATGACGAAAGAATGCACGGCATTGCTAGTGTATACACAAATTTGTGCTTACTACATACTGATACACTGCTTTAGGAATCTAGAAAATAAAATGAAACAAGTATTCAAGTGGTGTGATAGACTTTGCATCAAAATGTGATAGAATAAATAAATCAATAATGTTTTGCGCTGTATTTCATCATATTACAGCAAAATTCAGCAATAAATGACATTTTAAAATAAAATATAAAAAAAACTATTTAAAATTGTAATAATATTTCACAATATTACTGTTTTACTGTGTTTTTATCAATTAAATGTGGTTTTGGTGAAAGAAAAACTATAAATAAAACCATCCATCCATCTTCTTCCGCTTATCCGAGGCCGGGTCGCGGGGGTCAGCAGTCTAAGCAGAGATGCCCAAACGTCCCTCACCCTAGTCACTTCCTCCCGCTCTTCTGGGGGGACACCGAGGCGTTACCAGGCTAGCCGGGAGACATTGTCCCTCCAGTGTGTCACCAGAGCCACCTCAGCTGACCCCTCTCGATGTGGAGGAGTGGCGGCTCTACAATGAGCTTCTACCGAGTGACCGAACTTCTCACCCTGTCTCTAAGGGATCACCCAACCACTCTGCGGAGAAAGCTCATTTTGGCCGCCTGTATCCGGGATCTTGTCCTTTCGGTTATGACCATAGGTGAGAGTAGGAACGCAGATTGACCAGTAAATTGAGAGCTTCGCCTTGCGGCTCAGCTCCTTCTTCACCACAATAGACCGGTACATCGACTGCATTACTGCAGATGCTTCACGATCCATCTGTCAATCTCCCGTTCCATCCTTACCTAACTCGTGAACAAAACCCCAAGATACTTAAACTCCTCCACTTGAGGCAGTAACTCTCCACCAACCTGAAGTGGGCAAGCAACCCTTTTCCAACTGAGGACCATGGTCTCGGATTTGGAGGTGCTGATTCTCTTCCCAGCCGCTTCACACTCGGCTGCAAACAGTCCCAGTGCATGCTGAAGACCTTGTTCTGAAGGGGCCACCATGACAACATCATCCACAAAGAGCAAAGACGAAATCGTTTGGTCCCCAAACTTGACACCCTCCGGTCCCTGCAGGTCCCAGCAGACCCTTACAGTACGCTTGGGTCTGCCAAATCGGTCCAGCTTCCTCCCCCGCCATCGGATCCAACTCACCACTAGGTGGTGATCAAATGACAGCTCCGCCTCTCTCTTCCCCCGATTTTCCAAGACATACGGCCATTGGTCAGATGAAATGACTACAAAGTCGATCGTTGACCTATGGCCTAGGGTGTCCTGGTGCCACGTGCATTGATGGACACCCTTATGCTTGAACATGCCCTTTGTTATGGACAAACTGTAACTAGCACAGAAGTCCAATAACTGAACACCGCTCGGGTTCAGGTAAGGGGGGGCGTTCCTCCCAATCAGGCCCCTCCAGGTGTCACAGTCATTGCCCACGTGGGCATTGAAGTCCCCAGTCAGAGCACTTTCTAGCACCCCTCCCAGAGAGCCCAAGAAGGCCGAGTACTCTGCGCTGTTGTTTGGCCCGTAGGCACACACAACAGTGAGAGACCTATCCTCGACCCGTAGGCGCAGGGAAACGACCTTCTCGTTCACCGGGGTAAACTCCAACACATGGCGGCTGAGCTGGGGGGCTATAAACTTAGCCCGTCGCCTCTCACCATGGGCAACTCCAGAGTGGTAAAGAGTCCAACCTCTCAACCTCACGCACAATCTCAGGCTCCTTCCCGGCCAGCGAGGTAACGTTCCACGTCCCTACAGCTAGTTTCCGTGTCCAGGGACCAGGTTGTCGAGGACCCGATCCTCTCAGCACCAGCCCCTTACGGTTCCTCCTGTAGGTGGTGAGCACACGGGAAGGCGGCCCCACATCTCTCCTTCGGGCTGAGCCCGGCCACCAGGCGTTTGCATACGAGCCCCAACCCATGGGCCTGGCTCGGTCACGGTCCTCGATTTAATTTTTAATTTTTTTGAACCATAGTCTGATCCGTCGCCTAGGACCTGTTTACCTTGGGAGACCCTACCAGGGGCATATAGCCCCGCGGACATTCAGGTACTCAAACCCCTCCACCATGTTAAGGTCGCATTTCAAGGAGAGGCCATAAATGAAATCCACTGTAATTATTCCAAACTTTAATCTGGTAGTGTTTGTGTGTTTAGAATATTTATCCAGTATATAGCAGGCAAAATCTGATATTTTGGCCCAAAAATCCATCTTTTATTGAGGCATATATTTTCCATGTTGCATTTTCTGTTTTGTTGAGAGCACTGGTTGATTTGAATAAAATATTAATCATGAGTAAGTAAATTTATATGCACTCTGGTCCTTGAATTGATTGAAATGATTGCAGACTCAAACTTTTGATGCAGTTTTACTGATGGATCTCCTATCAGAAACCCCAAAGAGAGGGAAAGCAGGAGAAAGTTAAGAAGGAAAGATAGAGCTGAGTTGAGCTTAGCTGTGCCTCCTAGGAACAGCTCAGGGCTCCAGGCTCACTGATAACCTTCTCCTTATGCAAAGCCATGCACTGGCTGCAGCCAGGGGATTGAGCACAAGAGCAGTTTGTGTGTGTGTGTGTGTGTGTGCGTGCATGCGTGTGCGTGCTCTCTTCTTAGTTTGACTCTACTTCACGAGTGACTGAAAGTAGCTTTAAATGCACTCAGAGGAAAGTGTCATGAGTGTATTGGTTGTGTATCAATTCTAGATGCAGTTAAACTTGTCTATTTAGTCATTATCTCAGAGTGTGTTCGTAATAGGCTAGCTACACCAATCAGAAATAACACTGCATAGTTGCTGCTATTTTACATGGAATTGCTTGTTTTTGTAAACGTCTTTCATGGATGTTTTTAAAAAGGTCTCACCAGGATTTTTTTAAGAATTGCTGTCAAATATTAAATTTAAAAAAGTTGTCCTACATTGCTTTAAGTTTGTGTATTAATTGTCATTATTTTTTAAATGTTCTGTTCTTACCATGAAAATATTTTGGTCTGTAATATTTAATTTATTTTTTGAAAGAAATTAAATTGATACAAAAAGTAAATTTCAAAGAAATACTGTTCCTTTAAACAGTCATTGAAGAATAATTATTTAATCCAAAAATGTATCTTGGTTTCCACAAAAATAGCAAGCAACAATAATATTTCATATTACTGTATTTACTATACTTTTTTTAACCAAATAAATTCAGCCTTGGTTAGCATAAGAGACTTCTTTCTGAACCCCACATTTTTGAACGGTAATATGTATAAATAGCGAGTACAAATAAAAAACTATTTATGGAAAATGTACTCCAAAAAAAAAAAAAAACTGATAAAGGCAGAACCACATTTCACTGCAGATACAAAGTCCTGTACCAAGTACTCAAAGCTTCCAAAGGCTCATATGGAGGCAATTAGATTACTTGTGACAAGATGAAATGATAAAAGGATGCACAATATGGTCTCATTTTGGAAGATGAGCGAAAAGCTGATTATTATTTCAACAAAGCAGCATCAAGTTTTCTTTTTATTGCAAACCTCATTGGAATGTGCTACTCTTGGATGATGGTCTTATCAGTGATAGGCAAAATGGATAAACCTTGCTGTGATGGAAACGCCGTTTTAATGCCATTTCCTGTTATTCCACTGCCATTACATGTGTGCGATAGATTGGATTTTTCATGTTAATGTGAGGTAATAACAGAAATAGAGCAAAGCTAAGATGAGTGAATAAGGGAAAGAATACGAGGAAACCATTAACAACAGAAATAAATGTCTAAAATGAGTGTTTTTAAATATGAGAAGTGTGCAGGCTCTGTAAAAAGCTCCACTAAACCCATCTTAAGCCATTAGTAGACTATACTGTATGTACACATAGAACTTCTGTGTGAAGTTGAAAAGATTTGTAATCAGAGATGAAAGAAGTTCAGATAATGTTGAATCCTCCCTTAGCTTTAGTGCCAAGTTACTGTGCTTTTGATTTATCTGGCACATGAGATTGTTTTTCTGTTAATTTATTGATGATCTCTCTCTCTCCCTCTCTCTCTTATACCTAGGCTGGAAAGCTGGCAATGGATCGAGGATGGGCAATAAATGTGGGTGAGTTCTCTTTCTAATGCTCTCACTCGAAAAACAATTGCAGTGAGAACAAGTGCATCTTACTGTGCTCCCTGCATATTTGAATCCAGCTCAGGCATACTATTGATCATTTTTAAGTAGCGATTCTCAAACATCCTAACACTGCCTAGTCATAAAAAGTTTCCTCTAATTTTGTCAACGTTCGGTTGAACTCTATGAGTTCAAGCTTAAGGACTGTCTTAGTGACAATGTCATATTTTATATGTATTGCATGTAAAAATGTTAAATTTAACATGAAAAAATACAAAATTAAATAAATGAATAAAATTTAAAAAAACTATTTTTTTATAATTACATAAAATAATTTTAATATAATTTTTTTTAATTGTCACATTGTGTACCATTTGGTCCTGTACTGGTCAAATTTGAGAACCCATGCTTTAAAGAAATAAAGGGAACATCTTTTTAATATGAAGATTTAATAGGGTTGTCCTATTGGTAACTTCATTCAAAAATTACCCATATATGGCTATTTATTGATGCATTCAATATTCTATTCTCATCCTCGTTTCTGAAGAAAGTTGGGGAAAGCGTGGCTCCTGCTAGTGCAGCCATATCCCTAAGGCCGTTCTTCTAAAACAGAGCTGCTCTTTGCCTTTGAATTGCTAAACATTAATATACAACGGATGACTGTTCATTCAAATGCGGGCATTGTTCCTCGAAGGGTGTTGCACAGTAATTGAAAGGTGTGAATCAGTAAGCGGGGTCGTGTGAATAAGCAATAAATGCTAATCAGCAACTGGCTCGCTCCCATAGAGGAGCTTCCGGAGTGCAGAGTCATTTAATGAGGCTAAATGTGGCGGGTCATGGAAGGACAGATCAGATCTGTTGCTTGAATGTATAAATATGATCCTAATTAAAAGCTAGTCTCTCAATCACCCAATGTTTTGAGAGAACATTCAAAGGGAAATCATCTGGTGGCACTGGAAAACAGGCACCATTTTTATACCACCATTCACTGAGCTGAGCAGTTTTAAAGGCCTTTTTTCTGGTCTCTTGCAGGAGGAGGCTTCCACCACTGCTCTAGTGACAAAGGAGGAGGTTTTTGTGCCTACGCTGACATCACACTAGCAATCAAGGTGAAATGTTTGCACCAAAGCACTAGAGATTGCTAGAGAATGGGACTCTTTCATCAGCAATTTTATTTTTTAGTCATATACAGCGGTTGTAAATAATATGAATTATGAATAATATCAAACTTTCTCAATATCTTGAACAGTTTAAATCTTTGACCAGTTTCTGACTGAAATTGTTTTTTCTAATGAGTATTTCCAATAAATAATATTTTGAAGTTGAATGAATAGTTATTTTCAGAGTTATATATATATATATATATATATATATATATATATATATATATATATATATATATATATATTTATATATATTTTTTATATTTTTATAGTTTTTTAATCCTTTATTTTACCAGGATAATCCCATTGAGATAAAAATATCTTCTTCCAGGGAGTCCGGGCCAAAATGGCAGCACAAAAAAGTTTCACATATAATAGAGTACAGACATAAAACTCAATCTTACATGCAATTTTACCCAGCTCGCATAAATTGACAACAAAAGTTACTTTACAAAACATGCACACGTTTCCTTTAAATTGGTCAATAAAAGATTTTTTAAAAACATTTGAAGGGGGGAGAGTTTTTTATCATTATTATACTCTGTAGCTCATTCCATAGCCAGGGAGCATAGAAAGAAAAGGCAGTTTTACCAAGCTCTGAATGTACTCTAGGAACCATTAAAAGTAGTTTTGCACTAGATCTAGTGCTATAGTTATAAATGCAGTAATAAACGACAGATATAAATTGGTAATTTGCCTAGCAATGCCTTAGCAATAAATATCAACGTGTATTTTTCTCCTCTGATAAGAAATCTAACCCACCAATTCATACAAGGTACAATGATGAGTGCGTGAGGAGGCATTCGTCACAAAGCGCAAGGCAGCATGGTACAGTCAAGTTTTTTAAATCACATCACCGTAATCCAATACTGAGAGGAAACAGCATATAATTTTTTTTTTGTGTGTGTGTGTTTAAATCCAATTTCAAACTTAACAATGACCATTGCAAAGACCGAAAAGAATCTTGCAAAAGCTCTATGGCTTGATTCATAGTGTGCACTACTGTATAAATAATTGCGTCATCAGCATATAGATGAATTCTAGCTGGAGTTATCCCACAAACTAGATTATTGATATAAATAGAAAATAAAATTGGTGCTAAAACAGAGCCCTGTGGGACACCTTTTTTAATTGTTCTGCTTAAGTAAAATTTTCAGCTGAGACACACTGAGTTCGTTCTTATAAGTAATTATTAAACCAGTTTAGAGCTGTTTCACTAAAACCCACACAACTAAGTCTACAGAATCAAGTGCTTTGGAGAGATCTACAAATAAGGCTGCACAATGCTGTTTACTATCCAAACATTCAATAATATAATTTGTGACCAGCATGGGACTTTATGGGACTTTAAATTATCTAAAATATTTAAAAAGTTAATATTTTGCAAATATTTTCAAATGCATATAGCCTGACAATTGTTTTTAAATCACACAAGGAGCTAAATCATCCAACTATATCATTTTTTTTTGCACTTTTGGCAGTGGATTTGCTATCATGTTCAGTATAGTTGCTGTTTGGTCATTTTAAAAAGTGATAGTTTTACTCTATTTAAGAAATAAGCAGACTAGAGATAAGAGATAAACATGTCGTTAAACCTTTTTATTTTTGAAAATCATGTAGCATTTCTTCCTGTCAAACAATCCAGCCTTGTACTTTATTCGTTCATTCTAAAAAAAAAGAAAAGAAAAATCCTGCATAAACTCATGTGTGCACATATAATGTTTGGAATCTTTTTACTGAAACTCATACATTGATTTCTTTTTTCCCCCACATTCATTCCACTCTCAGACTGTTGCTATGTCGTGAGATCCACAAACCTCTTCGCAATTCTTCTGTCAGGCACAACCTAACTTCCTCCCTTGTGTGTTTCCCTCTGCAGTTTCTCTTTGAGAGGGTGGATGGAGTTGCCAGGGCCACCATCATCGATCTAGACGCCCATCAGGTGAGCAGTCCTTTTCCAACTCCATTCTGTCAGTCAATGGAATTGACACTGTAGACGAGATAATACCCCCTTTCGGAGGTGAAATCAATGGTTTTGCACTCTGGTTACTTGTATGCAACAGCTTTGACTCATTTGCAGCTGAAATTTGCTTGCTTCTGTTCTCGTAGCTCCGTTAGTGTTGGCTGTTGAGTGTGCCATTATGATGATTGCCATGGCAATTACTACCAAATAATGGTACTTTTTTAAGTCAAGTGTGTGATGATATCACCATGTTCTTAAAGTGTGTAATGAGGTGATAGCTCTTTCTGTAATTCTTTTACCATCTTATAAGAGCGTTAAATAGTCACACCATACATGTGTTACACAGTCATAGTTGACTGTAACAGTTTTTTTCTGCTGTCTTTAAGTCTATGCAAATTCTATATTTGCATGAGCCATATGTATGTACTCTGTCTGAATAGGTTGTGTTGTTGTACACTACCATTCAGAAATTTCATTTAAGAATGCTTTGAATTGTTTCAAAGTAAAAGTAAAGACTTTTAGATTTACAAAAGTTTTCTATTTCAAATAAATGATGTTCCACAGAACGTTCTATTCATTAAAAAAAAAACCCTGATGAAATTTATCATGGTTTCACTTTTCACAAAAAATATTAAGCAGCACAACTGTTTCAAAATTGATAATAATAAAAGTTTCTTGACACCGGAGAAATGGCTGCTGAAATTTCAGCTTTGTCGTCACAGGAATAAACAACATTTTCAAACATTAAAATAGTAAAGAGTTATATTAGATTGTAATAATAATTCATAATATTACTGGTTTTACTGTATTTTTGATCAAATAAATGCAGCCTTAGTGATCCATAGAGAATTATTTCAGAATTATTCAAAAGGGGCATATGTTCAGTAATATGTTCAGTAAGTTTTGACACTTGTTCACATACTAATCAATATCAATCTAAAATCAACCTTAAATTTGCAAGATTTGGCCCCTTAGAGATCATAGATATGAATACTGTAAGATGCCACTCTGAACCAAAAACAATAACTGACCGTGAACATGGGGAGTACAGTATAAATACATTTTTATATATTTATGTAAATCTGTGTTTTCTGATCGGACAGGTAATTTATTATACCATTTCTTAATTTAAACGACTATAGTGTTATTATAAGAGTAAATAAAGCACGTGGTGGAATCAACTGGCGCTAAATTAAAATTGAACCATTTGCGAACTATCTCGCCGGTGATTTGCGATGCATTCCGTGAACTTTCTCGTAGCCCTCATTTTGGAGTGTGCCTCTGAAAAATCTCCGTTTCGAGGGCTATGTAGCCCTACCCCTTCGCCCTACCCCTCGATCTCAACAAGAATCAGGACACCCTACCCCTAGACGTGAACGCGCAAAACGGAAGGTAGGGCCAAGGGGTGAATTGGGATTGAACCTTAGAGTACATATTTATTATTCCAGCCACTCATATCAATCAACCATTAGTCTTATCTATCCACACGTGTCATATCCTTCCTTCCTTAATTAGTGTAAATCAACATGTTTCCCTCTAATTTGCAGTTTATTGCACTCTCCTTCCTAATGAGTCACCTCCCCTGCTAATTAGCCCAGCCTATTAAGGAAGTTCTCATGGACCCAGAAGCTGTTGTTCTTGATCATTTTTGTGCTACAGTTTCACATAAAACTGCCATAAGCATTTTCAAGTGTGGCTTGATTGTAATTATGGTCTTTTGCTCATCGACTAAGCCAACAAGATCAGATCAATACCACTGCTGGGTGAATAATTCATGGAGGACCACTAGCAGAACAAAGGTGGGAATCTTCATGTTGGCATATAAATGGACCTGGAAGTGCTGTCTCAGCTGGATGTAAAAACTGTGAAAATATCAAGAGGGGGGAAATGGGCATTGGAGCTCCAATTAAAGGCTTAAAATTGTGACATGTAATGGCAGATGGTGGTCTCTGAAGGTGACAGCAGTTGCATATGGGAATCCAGAAGTGTGTGCTAATAACCAGGCTTATCTGCAAAATGAGACAACAAATTGTTAGTCCCCTTATAAATAGAACTGTTAGGTGAAGCGGTCAAAGCCGTGTTTTATCAGAATCAAGGATTGGAACTAACTGTTTTATAAAAAAAAATCAAAGTACTTAAAGTAGTTGTTATAGCATCCCTGGAATGTTCCATACCCCAAAATGACTTTAAGCAACAATTGTTATTGTTTAATGAAATATTTTAGTATTAGAAAAGATTTATTCATGCCCATCATTTTTTTTTAATTCATGTGCGATTACAGTTATGTACTGTATTTTCTCTTCTCTGATGTCGTGTTTACAGGTTTGAGGGTGTGACAACCTGTCACTCACAGTCACATGAGATTCCAGCAATAGCAAATCACAACCATCCAATTAATTGCTGATGGACAAAATCAAGTCCCTACATTTTTTCCTATTTGACAAGCCGCTCACTTATAATAGTGCAGAAAAGATTATTGCCCTAATAATAGTGCAGAAAAGACTATTGCAATTATGTTTCATGCTGACTTTTTGCAGTCTATTTGCAGTCAATTTTAATTTGCAGTTTATATATAGATATATATAGATATATATTATACATTTTATATATATATATATATATATATATATATATATATTATACATTATATATATATATAAAATATATAATACTGTATATATTATGTATAATATATATATATATATATATATATATGAAGAGTTCAGATGCAAAAGCCTCTAAATGCCATTTGAAATTTTCTTCTAAAATGATCATTTTTGTCAAGCTTATATTTAAGTTCAGTAATTTCACTTAAATGACAATTAATAGGTAATCTTCATTGCCATTTAAGTGAAATTACTGAACTTAAATATACAAGCTCGATAAAAATGATCATTTTAGAAGAAAATTTAAAATGACACTTAGAGGCTTTTGCATCTGAACTCTTCATATATATATATATATATATATATATATATATAAAGCGTGTCTTTACATTTACAACCGAAAAATGCTGGCGAATTTCAGAATTGCCATGAACACATTTTTCAGTTGTAGTCTTTTAAAAATCTTAGATAATAAACTATCTGAAATAATAAAATAAGTGCAATGTAGTGTTGTCAAAAATATAGATTTTGTGATGCATATCAAAAGTGAAATATCTGAAAAGCTTCCAATACTCTTTTTCTGCAGAAGAGATACACAATACCAGCTGCGCTTCCTCACTCTCTCATCTCTCCGACAACGAGTAGACAGACAAACCCGCCTCCCCTCACTCACTTGTTTCATTTTCACCGGATGAACATTGTTGGTATTACAGGGCTTACATTTCAGCATGGGGTTGTGCATATTGTGCATAGTTTTACTCATTCCCGCTGATTTTGCACACACATAAAGCCGCCCCTCAGTACTAATTGAGTTAGTGTTTGCTGCTTATTGCACTTAAACAATCAAATACACACAAAATAATCTCAAAATTCCGGCCTTCTCGAGTATTTACATAAACACAGTCAGTTATGTTTTAAGTAAACATAAACAGTTGAGAAAGAAAACGCATTTGTAACAGTATAATGAGTCATTGCGTCACCTAATATACCTGCTGCCATATTATGAGATAATATTTAAAATATCTACCTGGCAGTTTTTCCTCATGTTATTGATGTCAAAATTGTGGCTAGTAACTTTGGAAAGCCAATAGCTACAGTTTTAGTTTGAGTAAATTTAGTTAACTAAATCTTGTTTTATTTGAGTTAGTTGCCAAAATTACATTTCTAATCATTTATTTGATAATTATCTCAGCATCTGTTTGCATCTCTCTGACTTTAGAGTTTATGATAGTTTAATGTTATCACATATTCAAACAGCATCCTCTTTTGACCGCCTATATAGAGGGAAAATCTACATGAAAACAATGAAATGGTCCATCTGACAGTTCCAAACAAGCCTTTAGCTGTTACAGTCCCGTGTTGATTGCAGACTTGCTCTCTGATGCAGAAAAACTGTATCTTCCATCCTCTGCTCTTATGTTGACAGACACATTAGATAATATTACCATTCTATAACAGTTCACCTCTACTCATGACTATCAGTGGAACTTAAGGGCTGCTGCATGTTGAGTAATCACTCCTGTATATTATTCATGTAAGCTGCCTGTTAGATTTCAGAGGACCAAACTCGAAATTGCTACATGGATATCTTTTTGCCAGCAGCAAGGTTTTGCTGCTTGAGTGCACAGATGGTGCAGACAGGAGAATGTGAATGTGTCCCTAATGCCTGGTTCATAGTCTCGTAATTGGCTAACGGTCTGAGTAGAGAGACAGGGCTGTTTTGGAATAAGAGACTGTAGTCGTGCACCTGAGTTGCGGGCCTTGCAGCAGTTTTAAATTAAAATTGACAATAGCCAGACACTGTACATGACAGATGGTGAGGATGGAAATGTTATGACTTCAGAAAACCGAGAACAACACTTAGCATATGAGGAAAAGCTCATCTTCGCACCTCTCGCTGTCAAAAACAATAGCAGTTGTGCACACACTGGACACATTTAATGCATTATAGTATTCTTGACAAGCAGTTTGAAGATTTGTTGAGAGTTTACATAGAGAGACCATAGATATGACAGGAATTTTTGTGCGGGGTAAAATACATAAAGTAAACATAATTTTATTGCGGTTTAATTTTATGTTGTTTACATCATATACAGGAAAAATATATGCTTTTACTTAAAGCAAATTTTACCTGAAGAGCTTTGTAGTGAAAATATACCTTTTACTGCTTTCAAATTGTTATTATTATTATTATTATTATTATTTGTCCTGCTTAGGTTCATTTAATTGATATTTCATTGGCATTTTAATGTAAAATCATTTGTGTATTTTTTTTATTTTGAGAATGTATGTGTAGATGTTTAATGTTAATTAATGACAAAAATATGTATTGCATGCATGTATTTAAGCAATAATTTGCATCTATAGAATTCTGGAAAGCACTGCAGATTTACACAGGTTTCCATAGATTCAAACTGGCCGCCCCATGAGACAACCTTCTTTATGTACAATAAAACTGCTTTTTCATTAGTCTATGGATGTATATTTTTCAAGAATTATTCATATCCTTTGTGTAAAACTATTTAGGTGCTATTGGATTGAGCATTATTGATTAGTGTATATTTTTTTATTTTTGATATTTTTTGTTTTTACTGATTACTCAGTGACGCAGGACATTATTCAGTGTTATTGATGCACTATTATTTTAATTTATTATAATTTATTTTATTGTTACTATATATGTATGTATTACTATTATTTTAATAAATTGGATTAGCTTTTACTTTATATATATTATTTTTAATTTTAGTTTATAATTCTTTTTATTTTAGTCAGATTTTCTACCAAAATCAGTGCAGAAAATGCATAAAACCCGAATTATTTCTTAGATCAGAGATTGATTGAAAACCACTTGACCAAATCTTTATTGTAGTCTTAGTTGTAGTTGTAAGTGCAAACAGCAGGAATCTAAACATATATCTGCTCTTTGCATATTGCAGGGAAATGGCCACGAGAGGGATTTCCTGGATGACAGTCGCGTTTACATAATGGATGTCTATAATCGTCACATCTATCCAGGAGATGGATATGCAAAGAGTGAGTTAAAGTGCATTTGAGTGTGTAAATGGGCATTTGAAGTGATCCTGATTATGTAAAGAGATCCTGTACCACAGTGATACGAGAAGATGAAACGCTTTGGATCATGGTTTTTTGACTGATTTAGCCTGGACATGCTCTTTATTTGCATATCTAGAAATTCACACACCCTTCACACACTCACTAATAATGGGATACTGAGATGGATACAAATGAAATGAAATCTGGGAAGAAGGTAAAGTACTTTTGCTCTCCTACAGGGGGCAGTGTCCTGCAACCCTCATGGTACTGTGAGCTGTTTACTCACTGACTTGAATGTGGTTGAATGTTCTCGTCATCATCCACATGTCTCTTGTTACTTTAACCCTCTTATTTATACTGGCATGTCAAATTAAAAGGGATGTCAGTGCAGTTGGCAATATATATATATATGAAGAGTTCAGATGCAAAAGCCTCTATGTGCCATTTGAAATTTTCTTCTAGAATGATCATTTTTATCAAGCTTGTATATTTAAGTTCAGTGATTTCACTTAAATGCCAATGATAATTACCTATTAATTGTTATTTAAGTGAAATTACTGAACTTAACAAGTTCATCATTAAATAAGAAAATTTCAAATTTTATCTTACAGTCATTTTTTTATTTATTTAACTTTTTTTATTGAATTTTAATGAACTACTCAGATTCTGATTCTCAACAGATTCTGATAATTGACAATTTCTATGTCATATTTGCACACTGAATTGTGATTGTCTTTTTTTTTTTGCCTCACTTGCACTGATATTTCGTTCAGTAAATGTTTTGATTGATAGGTTGGGTATCAAAGAAACAGCCCACAGTGGTTTGAAGGGATGACTTACAACACGCTTCAACTGGCACCGATATGGTCACATTATAATCTTCGTCAATTAATGCATCCGTTATCTGCGCGGTTCTAACTCGCTCTGTCAAACATGTGACCAGGAGTGACAGAAATATTGCTGTTCTGTTAAGCTCCAGTGCACACTGTGTGACAACTTGTCAAACTTGAGATGATTTCATTAAAGCATTTACATACCGTAACCAGCTAAACATAAGGTTTTATAAACGTATAATGTTCTGACTTAAACTTCCTTGCGCTCTATTGAAGCATTTCCTGGCTTCCCATGATAAGTTTCACAGGCCTCGTTTTTCTTAAAATTTTCCATAGTTTCTTTCTAAGCCATTTTCCCTCTGTGATTTCTCAGTATGTTCAAAAGAGAACGTACCTCAGTTTTCTGACTTTGTGTATCCGTGGTCCTCTCATCTGCCTGTAAAGGCACAAGAAACTAATTAGTCTTAAAAGCCTCAGAGAAAGCAAGGTATTGTGCTCTATTTGCCTTAAAACCAGGCTTAAATAAACGAAAGAACACCTTACATTAGTTTTGACCTTTTTAGTTACTTTCTTTCAGTTACACACACAACCATTTTGGTGATTAGAAAAAGCAAGAAGACCCCTTAGTGGCTTTTCCCCACAGTTTTTAGTGGGAAATATTATTTTTTGAAAATGGATATAACTTCAAGGACTAGTTTGCCCCAAAATTAAAAATCTGTATATTTTATATTTATACCTGTATATTTTAAATAATCTGTGACTGTCTTTTGTGAACAGTTAAAGTTTTATGGTGGTCCCTATTAAATTTCATTGTATTGAAAAGGGCAGTGAGTAAATGATGACAGAATTAGCATTTTTGGGTGAACTAACCCTTTTAATGAATTACTTTATCCGTTATTTGAGTGTAACTGCTCTGAATTGCCGTTATCGACTCTGTTTGCTCACACTTTACCTACCTTTGTCTTTATATGCTGTCAAGGAGATAAAAACCTCATTTAGTTTTTCGTTTCTGTCTTCAGGGGCGATTAAACGAAAAGTGGAGCTGGACTGGGGCACAGAAGACATGGAGTATCTGCAGAAGGTGGAGCTCCATTCAGAAGGAGCACTGAATGAAGTAAAGCCTGACATTATCATATATAATGCTGGCACGGACATCCTTGATGGAGACGCTCTCGGAGGTCTGGCTATATCCCCACAGGTACTGTCCTTCATTCTTCCTTTCAGTCCTCCGTATCAGATCTTAGATGCACTGCTCGTCTTCGGCAGGGTTTTCTAGCCTGGTCAATAAAGTCCTGTATCAATTATTCAGGCTTGCTTTACAGTCTTCATTTTGTAGATTTGGAAGGAGATTTGAGGAAAGACTTTTATTAAGATAATATATCATATAGTGTATTAAACAGTGTTTGATATCCTGTGTTTGTGACCCTGTGCTATTTTGACATGTTATGTGTAATAAATCAAACGATATTAGGAGGTTTCTATACTTTGTGCGGCATATTTTTAATTTTCTTTATTAAATGTTTTTTTTTACAAAAGATTGTGTAAGATATTAAGACTTGAATTACACTTTATAATATTGTAGCTTAGCTGATAGCACCAATTCAAAATCTCCTCACATAATAAATGTTCTTTTTAATTTTTTATTAATTTCAAATTGAAAATTTGATTAAATACCTGATTAGACATGGAAACATATTAAAGACTTTTGCAAAATATTTTTTTGCAAAATACTCAGGGTATCGTAAAGAGAGATGAGATCATCTTCAGGGCAGCCCGGCGAAGAGGAATACCCATCCTTATGGTGACATCAGGGGGCTACCAGAAGAAGACCGCCCGCATCATCGCGGACTCCATTCTGAATCTGCACAGACAGGGTTTGATTGGTGAAGAGGCTGTTGAGGGTGCGGGACCCTCACATGTGCCGTTAATGATGACCAAATCCACGCTGGCTGCCATTTAAGCTCTCCTGATCTTGGACATTGTCAAGTGTGTCAAACACACTGTTAATGCCTAATGCAAACATTTTAAACTAATATATAATATTCTGGACAAAGGTCGTTTGGTGGTTTGGACCGAGATTGACTCAGGATAGTTTTCGTAGTTCATCGTTTTGAACTATTTAACTCGTATGTTGATGTTTTTTTTGTTTTCCATTTCTCCCTCATTTCTAAGGATGTTTTATGCAATACTTGTTTGCACATTACATTCTTAATAATACAAAAAATAATTCTTTCATCATTTGCTCGCCCTCATTACAAATGCACCCATTTTCATTATAAGGAAATGCATGTTTCTCATTTTGTGATTCACTGAAGAAAGTAAGTTTGGAATGATAGGGTTTTCATTGTTGGGTGAACTATTCCTTTAAATCTTTTTAATGCCACAGATTGGAAGGGAATTGATTTCTTATCAGTTTAAAAAAAAAAATCAATTTAAGGGATATTGTACATTCACATACAGTCCTCTAGAAATCGCCAGTTTGAGATACACAAGAAACATTTACCGTATGATTTTGAGTGATTTGTGGCTGCTCTCTCCAACACTAGATACGATTTATTCAAAATTAAATTATAACGTTATGATTTCAATTTTGGATTCATTACAGATTCCTCATTGTGTCGACCTACTCTGCTATAACGCCTCAAATTATTCTGTGACGTTAAATGGAAGTTGCTCTTAGAGACGTGCTTTTGTGACCCTTTCGTTTAAGCAGCACGCAGGGATTCTCATTTGTGTGCATCAGCAGGTGGACCACTGTCAGTCTGAGTGCTTTCTATCATATTACACCTGGCAGGCTTTTGAAATGTCTTCAAGCTAAGGCCGGGGCTCTCTCTATTAGGAAATGAAACTCTTCATTGGAAAGTCTGAGAGACACAGTAGTTGGTTGCCAGTGACAGTTCTAAAGCCATGATGTCTGATTCAATTTAACAAAATGGTTGCTGTCATCTAGAGAATAAATAGGAGTTGATGGCAGGTTTTTTTTTTTTTCCTTTTCTTTGTTCAGATTTTAAATTCTAGCGTGAAATCAAGATTATTAGTCATGTTTTAAATATTTATTCTGTGATTTTTATTTGTAGGCATCAAGTCTAAATGTAGTTTATTACTCCAGACAGATCTACCATTGGATTTGTCACTTTATTGGCATATTAAACTTTGAGTTTATTTATTGTTCACCTAGAAATTATTCTGACAATTTATTTAACCTTATGTCTTTCCAAATCTGTTTGACTTCTAAGTAGGAGCATGGTGATTTTCCTTTTATAAATATAAAAAATAATTATATTTCTTTGCTTTTGTGTTCGCTCATGAAACAATTGTGTTCCCCCTGAGACACTTTGTGTTCTCTCACTTTTTTCAGGGAAGCGCAAACAGTTTTGCAAGTTAAAGTGTTAGTTCACCCAAAAATGAAACTTCTGTCAGTATTTACTCACCCTCATGTTGTTTCAAACCTCTATGTGTTTATTTGTTCTGCTATACACAAAGGAAGATATTTGGAAGAATGTTTTAGTCAAACAGATCTCATTCCCCATTGACTACCATAGTAGGAAAAAATACATACGGTAGTGAATGGGGAATGAGATCTGTTTGATTAAGAGATCTTTGTGTTCAGCAGAACAAATAAACACATAGAGGTTTGGAACAACATGAGGGTGAGTAAATACTGGGTGAACTAACCCTTTGGGTGAACTAACCCTTTAACTCAAAGTTTCTAGCGGCAAATTTTCTGAGCTAACGCAAAGCACTGAAATAAAACGATTCTTCTCATATTTTTCTGGTCACTATCGTTGTATAGAAAAGAGTTCTGCAGAAAAATTCAAACAAGTTGTTTAAAAAATTGAAACAACAGGTTTGAAAATGAGGATAGTGATAATAATGAAAATTGATTTTTCTTTTAAGAACAGTCACTTTTATTTAGTTTTATTTCAAGCTCAAGGTTGAAATTCAGAGGGTTGTCTTTGTAAGGAGAGAGTTACGAGTCATTTTCAAGGGCTCATTTTCATGGCTCTGTTGTGTTAAAGTCGGAGAAACTTTCTCCACCATCCTTGTTCATGTGGTGATAAATTAAATGTACTGGTGTTAGTGGCCCTCCATACCTTTCTGCACTAAATTGCTCTTACAGCATAGAATAATATAAAAACGTTGCTCTGTTTGTTTGAGCATCCCGACCAGCCCTATAGCTAACTTGCATCAACCAATGGCAAGATTTGGGGTGGGACTATTTTAGTGTGGCTTATGGCAAATGGTTCTATATAGAACCATTTTTTTTTTTTTTTGGTAAAAGGTTCTATTGGCCAAGTATGGAACCCCAGGGTTCTATATAGAACTCAGAGGAACCCTTTTTTAAGAGTGTATAGAACCTTTTAGGGGTTCCAAATACTGTACGTAGCACTAATAGAACATTTTAAGGTTCTATATAGAACTTTTATATGATTGTTATTTATTTTATGATTTGTATTTGTTTACATTGATATCAGACTTTAAGTAGCAGGTTATATAAGATAAGAGAGGAGAGCTAATTTAGTGAAGTTCTTTTGGGAATGGCAAAATTGGAAAGTTATTTTATTTTAATTTTTTTAAGTCTCGGGTTGAGGTTATGAGTCTGATATTGCACTCAGGTGCTGGAGGGATCTTGGTAATGGACACTAATGAGTATAGTAGGGCTCTTTTCGTCCCTTTCTTTTTCTTTTTAATGAAAGCCGTCAAGAGGATGCGTATTGAGGTCACTTGAAAGATGTGAACCCTTTAGGTCTAGCCTGCAGTTTAATGGATCTGTACATGAAAAGGACCACTGTGGTCCTGCTTGAACAAATGACTTGGCTTAATGATGAGTATATCATGTGCTTGGATCCTTAATGGTTTGGTTAATAACATTGCATAATAGTTATTCTTCTGTCTATATGGACACTATAGACATAATGCACTTGAGATTTTTGCCACTTTATGAAACAGTCCTTTGTTTTGAATCATTTTTTACTTGTAAATCAAATACTACTCTTATTTGTATGTCAATTTAAACCTGTGTTTCATGTAGAAATACTTTAGCACTTGGGTAAAGTACATTTATACATAAGTCCTAGTGCTTGTTAACATCTAACAAATGTGCCAAATGTTTTCACGGTATGTTCTTTTGTACCTGGCCCGTTTTATTTAATACCATTTTCATGTAAGAACATGGAAAATAAATCAAGTCTAACAATGCAATTACCGAAGACCTCATGTTTATTGAATACTATATCTGTTAGCATTTCATAAGATTTATATGACTTTTTTCCATCAGCATGACATCTTCAAGCACCTGCTGGTTTATTGTTTGAAATGCTCACCACAACCATAGAAGATTAATGTTGAAAGCAAAAGCTGAGCGGTGGGACAAATGTGCTGTATTATTCATCATCTCTGCTTTCAGTCTGTTTGTTGGCATGTTTGTTTTGCAGTGCAAAAGCAGATATAATCTGTTTACTGACAGTTCAGTATGTGTGTTCCCAGGGAATCAAGCCCATGACTTTGGCGTTGCGAGTGGCAGTGAAGCTGGATGCCCATGATGTGGATGTTCTCTCAGATGAGGTGAATGATTTGCAACCATTTGTTCCACTTGATACAACTGTTTTCCTAATCTAAAAGCCAAAAAAAAAAACTACACCCAACGCTCTGAGTTTTCCGGTATGCCCTCTGTACGGACGTCCCTCCCATACTCCACCCTCCAATGATGTCAAGAGTTATTTCAGGAGGTGTCTATGACTCAGCAATCAAACGTCCAGAGCTCACTGGCGTCATGCAAGGTGTCTGCTTGAGAGCTACAAAAGCTGCTCAGATGTCTTTATTTAGATACCCCTTCACCACCGTTTTACAGGCTCTCATTAACCGCTGCTATGCCCTGTTTACACAGTCTGAGGTAATGAGTATGGGTCCCTTGTTCCTTACTCTTCAGCCTGATTAAGAACTTTCTTGGGCGTTTGTTCAAGGAGAAATGGTGGAGTGGTCTCTCTTGACTCATTTAGGCATGTCAATGGGGAAGCTATGAATCTTTGAGATTACTTTTGAGGGGTGTTGAACGAAAAATGCGATTTTGTTGGATACTGAATATTTCATTTTGAGTGCAGAGCGGGACTGTGCAGCCAGTCGCATGTGTCCGTCTACATTTATTGATTTATTTAAATGTATTTTATTTATGAACAAAGTTTACAGTTCTGTCACTCCTGGCTTGAAGTTTATTATAGAGTTGCTGAATTGGATTCAGCCTTGGAAACCTACAATCAGTAATGTCCTTTGAAGTCCCAGTGGGCTGTTTACCTCAGTGTGAGGCGGTTTAACCTTGAAAATGTACTCTCAAGAGGAAGTTTGACTGAAATTACAGTAAGCAGGGGTGGGGGGATGTTTGATCTCAAGTATGTGTGGAGGATGATGTCATAGTCCAGATGTTGGTAAACAAGAATTGCTCATCCTAAAATTAACATTTCATCTTCACGTGTTTTGTGAAACATGGAATGAAATATTCGGTGGAATGTCTAAGCTGTTCTTTGTCTGCCCGACAACAAAAAAGCCATAAAATCAGAATCAAAAAGAGCTTTGTTGCCAAGTTGGTGAAAAAATCTTCCAGTGCATAAGAAAGTACTGACGTTAGGCAATAGAAATCAGTCCAGAGACACTGTATTACAAGTCTTTTGAAGCCATTCAACAGCCTGTGTTAATTTAATGTCATTCTTAGACACATTGCACCAGGTTTTATGTCATTGACTGATGCTCTCTTCCATGACCAATCGCAAAATGGCAAGGTTGAAAAATGCGGCCATAAATGAAATTTGATAGCTAGTGCAGAGGGAAACATTATCATTGAAACTCGGCGAGTTGAATATTGGGCTGTTCATGATATATTGATAAATATCACAGTGTTTTATGGTACTTTATATAGTGCTTTTGCCATTTTTAGAGCTCTGTATAATAAATCACAACCCACTTTCTTTGTATGGAAGGCATAGTTTTCCGATAACGTTTAGTTTTTCACTGAAGAAAGATGATGCTACTGGGTTGGAAAAACATGACGCTGAGTCAATTCATTTTTGGGGCATACTTCTTTTAATAGAAATCCACCATTCTGTGGTTCAAACTCTCTGGTTCTCAATATGAGGAGATTCAGGGTGAAAATTGTAGTGGTGAGATGTTAACTCGGTCAAAAGTGCACAGCCCACTTTCCAGTCGAACTGAGGTGGAAGATCTCTGCTCTTGGCCAATTTAACACCTGACCACCATCCATTTGGCACACCGAACGAGATGACACTGTTAGGGAAGGGCACTCTTCTTCCCATGTTACTTTCTGCAGGATGGATCAGCTCATCCATTGGTATAATGGCTAACACCCATTGAGCTCTGCATATCGTAAAGGCAATTCAATATAGATGGAAATGAGATTAGACTGTGTTATTAGATCG